GCTAAAATGACGATTGGGGCTTTCTTACGCAAAATTGCATCTAGACTGGCCACGGATGCTTTTGTGCAAAAGCACTTTTTGCGCAAAAGCATCTGTGCCAATCTAGACGCGCTTTTGCAGAAATACTTTTAACGGAAAAACTTTTCCGTTAAAAGTATTTTCGCAAATCATACCAGTCTAGACGCAGGCTTATTGTTTTTCATATGTTTTCTCAGTCTCATATGTTTTCCTATGTTTTCTCTGCTTTCAGCTTCAGAATAAATGTACTTGATTAGAAAGAGCTTGATTATTTCGAACGCCCATTTCACTGCCGCTTGTAGACGCGGGCAGTTATTCCGGGCTTGTCAATTTCAAAGATGGCACCCGGCCAAGAACATGCAAATCAAGCACGGGATATTTAGATTCTGGGCTTGATTTGCAATCCCAAATGCCTACATTTGCAGCCCTATTTCGAATTAGGCTGCAAGTGTAGACATACCCGAAGAGTCCATCACTTCTTCCACTTCCCAACCTGATCCCACAGAAAGAAAGAAACCTATTTTCTTCCTTGCTCCCAGCCCCACAATCCAACACTGCCAAAAGCTCCACTGTCCTATTGTGTTCTTCAGGCTTATAATTTCTTTGTTGCATGAGCCTCTTCTCTACCATTTATATTCTATCTGGTGGTGACCAGGGCTGGCCTTACCATGAGGCAGTCGCCTCTGGTGCCAAACTGTGGGAGGGAGCCACTAGGACCCAGAGTGTAGAAAATTGTATCTGCTGCTGTTTCATATGTATTCTCTCCACTCTAGATGCACAGAGATGGTGGAGTGCTGTGCTGGAGGAAGGAGGGCAAAAGAGACATAACAGGCATGCAGGAGAAATGGGGGCGTCATTTGAGCTCCCTGCCTCAGGTGCAAAAATGTTGTGGGTTGGTCCTGGTGGTGACTTTTGGAAAATGAATTTGGTAGATGTCAGTTCAAATCCTAGGGGCAGACATTTCTGACACTAATGTCACCATCACACTTGGAACTAGTATAGGGCAGTCTTTACAAAGGAGATATGGTCAATGTCTATGGGGATTTAACCACTCTTTCACCTTTAGACTTGGTCCATTGCAGGACTATGTGTACTCTTGCTTCCCAGACTGTTCTAGTTCTGTGATAAACAGAAAACTCTAGTCTCAGTACCATTAATCTGATATCTTGCTTTCATGAGGAATATATATGCTGGAAAAATATGGAGGGGAAGAATGTTAAATCTTTGAATAGGACCACAACAAGATATTTGCCTATTCCTTTTGATGAAGTGCCATGGAGAAGCCCAAGATTTCTGAACAGTATTAGATAAAAGTGGTTAAGAGCTAGCAGCAGACACAACTGATAAATTATTGACTGTTACAAAGGTACGTTTTCATCTATCTTGTTTTAAGAAAGTGTTAGTAACTCTGTCCTGGAATCAAAAGTTCTTCCTTACTTTCACCATCAGAAGATAGATTCAGGCTAAACACCAGGTACTGGCAGTAAATTCAGAAAACAAGAGTTAAATGCCACAAAAGAGAATTACAAGTGGCATCGCAGATACTGGAGGTCAGAAATTTTAAAAAATGCCAGAGTCAGATGTGAGTAGTCACAGATTAACACAAGGTATCACCCAAAGGGAGACAGGGATTAGAAGCCAGATAAAGCCCCATATAGTATGACACGTGAAGCATAGGGCAACAGCAACCAGGCATTAGACATTACAATTGAAATGTTTAGAACTTGGAACTGCCATTAGATTCAGGAATGAGTCATACAATTAACTCTGATGAGCTGGAAATGTTTATCTAACAAAACTTTTTATTAACTTATCTGCTATAGGCAACATTTAATTGGTTGCCACTGCATCAAGAGGGTCCTATTATTAATAAAATACACATTGTATGTCTGCTGCTGGCATAGGTGAGGACTCCATTCTTTGTGGGCCCTTTAGAGTGTGCAAAAAACCTGCCTTGTAATTAATCAGAATTATATTTATTTACAATCAATTATAACATTAATTATACAGGTAAATGTGGCTTATTGAAATGGTATATACCCATTCTTTGGAGAGATCATTTATTTACTATATTATGGACCCATAAATCCTGGCTCCATATTTGATGCAGGGTTTAAGCTTTTTGTTTGAAGTAGGGTACTATTCTTTCTGTTATGGCGAGATATAAAGGCTGGGCCTGATAAAAATCAACACACACATACACATTTAGGGGGGAGATAGCATTTTTTGGGAAAGTTACAAGTAAACACTTTGAACATTAGGACTCCCAATTAGTTAAATGACTCCTTTTTTAAATTTGAGGACTGTCTGGTGTATCCTTGGATCTTCCTTGTTCAAAGCCAAACTGTCTCTGCAGAGACAAACTTTCAACATTTAAATTTCCTTGTCAGTTTGTATACAGGCTAGTATGCAATTATTCTGAACTATGTGAGGAAACAATTATAAATTGTACGGTTACAGTCAAGTATCTGCCTATAGTTTAAACAATTTTTAATTGGCAGCACTTGAATCAGAGGTACTTCAACCAATAATCACTCTTCTTCCCCACCTCATTTGTATACTGCAATTCTATTGGTTGAAATGAACTGATAGAGGGAAGAACTTGTATGAGTGTCAAGAGTTCGTATTGGTAGATTTCATCTGCACACAAACCAAAGGAACACTGGATTGGCTCAGAGTTGAGGTGCATTCATCTAGTAGTTGTATATATTTAAAAATATAAACAACCTAAGAAAACCCAGCAATCCACAGGAAGGGTACACTTCATTGTGCAAAATATAGCATGTGAGTATGTGTGAAATGTGTTATATACATTTATACTGACAGTGTCTCTAGAGCCTAACAAAAACACAAAGTGGTAACACTTTGCCTAGTATCATACAGGAACTCTTAGGCCAAGCCATGTATGGAGTCAGTACAAGCACTGGGAAACAAGACCAGTTGTTATCCCTTTTGAATGGGCAGTTATCCTAGGGTTTCCAACTCTCTCGGAGAGGATGAACTGGATGCCATTACTACAAATGGCATCTAGTCTGTCCACTCAGGAGAGTTTTCAACCCTAAGTTATCCAAGAATTTGGGTCTTATTCAATTGGGAGGAGAAGTTGGTGATGGAATCGGGTGTGTGTATGATATAATCCAATCTATTTACAAAGTCCTGTTTCCTTGCACAAAGTGGAAGTCAAATAAAGGAGAGTGTCCTGGCTTAACTATCCAAGCTACTTTTTCTAGTCAGCACTTTGCCCCAAAGTGCTTTGTCATTGTTTTCCATGGGGCCATGTTCTCAGTGCTTTTTCTGACTGTGTCCATAGCACAAAGCAAGTCATATAAACCCAACTTTGTATAGGTAGTCACTAATTGCTCCTTATTTTCTGGGTACCCAACTGCAGACCCCTGGGTCTGATACACAGAAGTGCAAAGCACTCACATATGCATGTGAAATCAATGGGAGTTCTGCTTTTAACATACAAAGTTCTATATATTGCTAAGTACTTTAAAAAAATTGGGCATCTCAAATAGGGCCTAAATTATTGACCTATTGACCTTAGTCTCTGGTCCCTATTTGTAAATTGGGCATACCTTGCTTGAACCTCACAGGAGCTTTGTGAAGATAAAGAAACTGGTGTTTGTGAAGCACCTGGATGCTATAGTGATGAGCACCATAGAGGAAGCCCATAAGGAAACTAATAAGCTCTGTCTTCAATGTGCCCTGTGACTACAGATCCTGACACACAAGGGTCCGTCTTGATTTGAAAAAGAACCTGATTTATAATATTTTCATAGAAGTCATTACCTGTAATTTATGTTGTACTTAGTCTGCAGAAACCCCACAGAGAAACTGATAAAATTACAGGCTTAACATTGCTCAAGGTAAACATTGGACAGGTAAACAATGCATTATACTTTTTTCAACATCAAGCCTGTTGGGATAATTGTTTGTCTTCAACTAATATTTAATGTAGAGGGCCAGGAAAGCGCCTTCATTTGTGATTATAATAGTCCTACAGCCCATAAGAAGGAGAAAGAACATAAGAATGACCATACTGGGTCAAACCAAAGGTCCATCCAGCCCAGTATCTGCGGCCAGTGAGAACACAAAAGTCACTTTATGCAGGACAGAGAAACAAGTCAAATCCATCAGTGTGAGGCTGAGAAGCATGAATAGACCAGCACAAGTCCAAAACAAGGTAGCAGCTGGTGCCTACGCATCTGTATACAAAACAAGGTAGCAGCTGGTGCCTACGCATCTCCCCAGGTCAGTGGGGAAGGGCACGGGAGAGAGTTTCACGTGGCCCAGGGAAGGGGCAGGAGCCTGGGAAGCAGGAGAGCGCGCTGGAGGACCAGCAAAGAGCCAGCCACCGGAGCTTCCGCTTCACAGGAAGCTGCCCCGCCCGGAGAAGTAGAGACGAAGTGGAGGACGGGCCCCAAAGCGCGTCTTCTCTAGCCGCCCGAAGCCTGGCTCTTTATGGTAGACAGCGGCCGGCTTCTCCCGCAATGGGGAAGGCGGAGAAGGGCGGAATTGCCCGGCATGCAGCGCGGCGGGCCCTTCTCTGCTCGCCTCACTTCCCGGCCAGGGGCTAACATGGCTGGTCTGGGCGGGGAAGCGGCAGGGACGGGGGCTCGCCTGGGAGGGGAGCCGCGGGGGTCGGTGCGGCCCGTGTATGGGGAGGTCTCGCTGCCTTCACCCGTCCCGGAGAGCGTGCGGGTTGGGTGTGGAGCCAGCCCTGCGGGGGGCAGGTAGCGGGGGGGGGGCGGGGCGCGCGGG